AGAGAAGCCTTGACTGTGCTCTGTTCTGTTATAAAGCACGCAGGAAGCGGCTAGAGCACGAAAGAAGTGTAGGTAGAAACACGAGACGTAGTCGAGTGTTTCTTCCCACTTCTTGAGTGGGATTGATCGAACTTATCATTGAAGCAAAATAACCTACATGGTTTATGCTTTTATTATTTATTTGTGAGATTCTTATTACGGCTTGGCGCACAATTAATGCTTTGCTTAATGACTTAATAAAAGACCCAATGACAAGATAAACTGCAAATGGTACACTTTTTGAGCGGTTATAATTCTTTAATTTAAGTATAGTACCCTTATCTGGCATCTCAATCCGGACTGCCTCATTGCTTCAGCAATGCTCTTCATGGAGTGCAAGCTTTTCTTGGCTTCGGACACCTGAGGCAATACTCTTTTACTTCGTTATGATTTGAGGCTTGACTTGATTGCAGCCAAGTTTTCCATTAGCTTTGGCAGTGACTTGAAATTAATTTACAGTTAACTCAAAACTGTTTAGAAGGGAAAAACTGTATAAACAAACTATTTTTAGTAAACACTCACTTAATTCTTCACCAGATGGTTGCAATGGGACAATTTTGCTGTCCTCTCATTGGCTCACTTCGAAGTGAGGTCATAAACATTTAAAGAAAATAGTTATTGGATTCTGAAATATATCCTTGCGCAAAATACTCGTCATCTTCGTCTTTTTTATTGTTTGTGTCATCACGGAACGAGGTTTTATGGCTAGTGACTCTCCATTTTGTTTGGGAATAATCAATTTGTAAACAAAAGAAAAAAAGGTGAGAAAGATATTATTATTAGTTGTTGATTCCTTTTGGTATTGTTCGGATCAGTAAAACGAGTTTCATTCTGACCTATTAGTTGTTTAATTCTGTTGTTAAATTGTTGATGATTTGCAATCAATTTTCGTTGACGATCTTCACTCATTTTATTTCGATTCTGCCGATTGAGTTTACCATGATGCACTTGAGTCAATTGCATTGTAGGCTTTTTTAATTATATTTGCTGTCGGTCTCTGAAAATAGCTAAACTCAACTCAATTGCTAATAACTAAAAAAAAATAACACGAAATAAAAACAGATACGAAAAAAAAGCGAAAAACCAAATTTTAAACTGTTCTCAATACTCAAATCTCTAGAGTTTTAAAAAGGACCAATTTTGACAGAAATTGGTAATACAGTCCGATGACGCTTGTAAAATAGTCATGTGATTCTTCACCAGATGGCTGCAATCGTCAACGATCTCTTACTCGATTGGCTCATTTGAATTAATGATCATGTTCAAAGAAATGTTTATTTTTGGCACGATTATGGCAAATAGATTCAACAGTAGTTTAAATTTGCGCATTAAAAACACATGAGATCCTAGGATAAAGCGGTGTTACTAGAAGGTAATGATTAAAACAAAAAAAACAAGTTCAAAACTGTTTAGAAGGGAAAAACTGTATAAATAAACTATTTTTAGTTAACACTCACTTTATTTTACACCAGATGGTTGCAATGGGACAATTTTGCTGTCCTCTAATTGGTTCACCTCGAAGTGAAGTCATAAACATTAAAAGAAAATAGTTATTGGATTCTGAAATATATCCTTATGCAAAATACTCGTCATCTTCATCCTTTTTGTTGTTTGTGTCATCACGGAACGAGGCTTTTATGTTTGGCGACTCTCCATTTTGTTTGGAATAATCAATTATTAAACAAAAGGGAAAAGGTGAGAAAGATATCATTTTTAGCTATTTTCTTTTGGTATTGTTCGGATCAGTAAAACGAGTTTCATTCTAGGCCTTTTAATTGTTTAATTCAGTTAAATTGTTGATGATTCGCGGTCAATTTTCGTAGACGATCTTCACCGATTTTATTTCGATTCTGCCGGTTGAATTTACCATGATGCACTTGAGTCAATTGTATTGTAGGCAAAAAAATAGCTCAACGCTTCTTAATTCATAATAACCACTAAAAAATAATAATGAATAACACGCAATAAAAACAGGTACCAAAAAAAAGCGAGAAGCAAAACTCGACAGAACAGAAAAAAACCAATTTTAAACTGTTCGTAATACTAAAATCCCCAGAGTTTTTAAAAGTTCCAATTTTGACAGCGATCGATTATACAGTCCGATGACGCCGGTAAAATAGTTATGTTACCGTCACCAGATGGTTGCAAGCGTTAACGATCTCTTACATGATTGACTCATTCGAAATATTTATGATGCCCAATGAGGTGTTTTTTTTGGCACGATTATACCAAATTAACTCGACAGTAGTTTGAATTTGCGCATTAAAAACAAAGGAGAGCTTAGAATACACCGGCGTCACGAAAAGGTAACGATTCAAACAAAAAACAAGTTTCCATTAGCTTTCTATACAGTCCGATGACGCTGGTAAAATAGTTATGTTACCGTCACCAGATGGTTGCAAGCGTTAACGATCTCTTACATGATTGACTCATTCGAAATATTTACGATGCCCAAGAAGGTGTTTTTTTTTGGCATGATTATACCAAATAAACTCGACAGCAGTTTGAATTTGCGCATTAAAAACAAAGGAGAGCTTAGAATACACCGGCGTCACTAAAAGGTAACGATTCAAACAAAAAACAAGTTTTCCATTAGCTTTGGCAGTGAGTTAAAATTAATTTACAATCAACTCAAACTGTTTAGAAGGGAAACACTGAATAAATAAACTACTTTTAGTTCAAACTCACTTAATTCTTCACCAGATGGTTGCAATGGGACAATTTTGCTGTCCTCTCATTGGCTCACTTCGAAGTGAGGTCATAAACATTTAAAGAAAATAGTTATTGGATTCTGAAATATATCCTTACGCAAAATACTCGTCATCTTCGTCTTTTTTATTGTTTGTGTCATCACGGAACGAGGTTTTATGACTAGTGACTCTCCATTTTGTTTGGGAATAATCAATTTGTAAATAAAAGAAAAAAGGTGAGAAAGATATTATTATTAGTTGTTGTTTTCTTTTGGTATTGTTCGGATCAGTAAAACGAGTTTCATTCTGACCTATTAGTTGTTTAATTCTGTTGTTAAATTGTTGATGATTCGCAGTCAATTTTCGTTGACGATCTTCACTCATTTTATTTCGATTCTGCCGATTGAGTTTACCATGATGCACTTGAGTCAATTGCATTATAGGCTTTTTTAATTATATTTGCTGTCGGTCTCTGAAAATAGCTAAACTCAACTCAATTGCTAATAACTAAAAAAAATAACACGAAATAAAAACAGATACGAAAAAAAAGCGAGAAGCAAAACTCGACAGAACAGAGAAAAACCAAATTTTAAACTGTTCGTAATACTCAAATCTCCAGAGTTTTAAAAAGGACCAATTTTGACAGAAATTGGTAATACAGTCCGATGACGCTTGTAAAATAGTCATGTGATTCTTCACCAGATGGCTGCAATCGTCAACGACCTCTTACTCGATTGGCTCATATGAATTAATGATCATGTTCAAAGAAATGTTTATTTTTGGCACGATTATGGCAAATAGATTCAACAGTAGTTTAAATTTGCGCATTAAAAACACATGAAATCCTAGGATGAAGCGGTGTTACTAGAAGGTAATGATTGAAACAAAAAAAACAAGTTCAAAACTGTTTAGAAGGGAAAAACTGTATAAATAAACTATTTTTAGTTAACACTCACTTTATTTTACACCAGATGGTTGCAATGGGACAATTTTGCTGTCCTCTTATTGGTTCACCTCGAAGTGAAGTCATAAACACTAAAAGAAAATAGTTATTGGATTCTGAAATATATCCTTATGCAAAATACTCGTCATCTTCATCCTTTTTGTTGTTTGTGTCATAACGGAACGAGGTTTTTATGTTTGGCGACTCTCCATTTTGTTTGGAATAATCAATTATTAAACGAAAGGGAAAAGCTGAGAAAGATATCATTTTTAGCTATTTTCTTTTGGTATTGTTTGGATCAGTAAAACGAGTTTCATTCTAGGCCCATTAATTGTTTAATTCAGTTAAATTGTTGATGTTTCGCTGTCAATTTTCGTTGACGATCTTCACCGATTTTATTTCGATTCTGCCGATTGAATTTACCATGATGCACGCAAGTCAATTGCAATGTAGGCTTTTAAATTATATTTGCTGTCGGTCGCTGAAAAGGGCTTGACGCTTCTCGATTGCTAGTAACTGCTAAAAAAACGAAACAAAACAAAAAGGAAGAGGTGAGAAAGATATTATTATTACTAGTTGTTTCTTTTGGTATTGTTCGGATCAATAAAACGAGTTTCATTCTAGGCCTATTAGTTGTTTAATTCCGTTGTTAATTTGTTGATGATTCGCTTTCAATTTTCGTTGACGATCTTCACTCATTTTATTTCGATTCTGCCGATTGAGTTTACCATAATGCACTTAAGACAGTTGCATTATAGGCTTTTAAATTATATTTGTTGTCGGTCGCTGAAAATAGCTTGACGCTTCTCAATTGCTAGCAACTGCTACAAAAACGAAACAAAACAAAAGAACACGAACCAAAAACAGGTACGAAAAAAAAGGCGAGAAGTGAAACTCGATAGAACAGAGAAAAACCAAATTTTAAACTGTTTGCAATACTAAAATCTCCAGAGTTTTTAAACGGACCAATTTGACAGCAATTGGTAATACAGTCCGATGACGCAGGTAAAATAGTTATGTTAACGTCACCTGATGGTTGTAAGCGTTAACGATTTCTTACTTGATTGACTTATTTGAAATAATGATGCCCAAATGGATATTTTTTTTTGGCACGATTATGGCAAATAAATTCGACAGAAGTCTTGATTTTCCCATTAAAAAGCAAGGAGATCATAGGATACAGCGGTGTCACATAATGGCTTTAGGAATATTTTGACGAGCAAGTGACAGCTAATCAAAGCGTGACTAATTGAATTTCTATCCTTAAGTGTTCCAGTTCCGTTTGAAAAAGGCTCCGATTTCTTCGTTGACAAGGTTTTTATTCTTGCAGATTGTGCCAGCGTTTTGAGTCACTTCCAAGGAGCAAGAAAGGTGAGGTGCTCCTTTTTCATCGTCCCTTACAAATTTATTAGAAATGCAACAATAACACCATAGGTGGCCATAAATTAGTGACAGATTAATAAGATTGACAGGAGTTTTGCTAATGTTCGAAATGTGTTTTTTTGTTCTTTTTTCCTCTTAATTTTCATCGAGAAAATTCAATCACTTCAGATTGGGTTATTGAGAAAGGTGGTGTCAAATCGTTGGGAGTGGCCGAGGATAAACTTCTGACTCAGTACCCATTTGGCATCATCAGAAGTGGTTGGAGAATATATTCCAGACACACCCGAAAAAAATTAGTAGCTTGATTGGAGTTTGGGTGGTGATCGCAGACGTGGAGGTGTTACACATGTGGCTTCTGCTTATGTAAAATCTCCACTACAGTTGGGGGCGGGTAGTTAGAACAGGGGGATTCTGACACACTTATAAAACAACCTTGACTTTTATTGGACTCATGAAATTTAACCTTGATATCATGTCATCTTTGAAATCAACTTTGATTTCAAAAAACATTTCTTGCACATTTTGGAGACAACCTTGATTTTAAGGCAACTTTTTCACAGGTGAATAAAGTTCACAGTCTCACTCGTGAGTTCTGAAGAGGGTGTGAATAGTATCATCTCGAATGATCCTCCTTCCATTCAATGATGTCAGGATTGAATGCCTTCTCTCTGTCTCTCGCACTAGCGATATTTAGCTCGTAAAAAAGAAGAGGAAGTCACTTCATTGACCTTCTTGGAATATTGATGCCCTCACTGATAATCGCGTCTAATCTCTCATCCACTAAGATTGTCTTGAGATGAGTGACGCTCGCACATGAATCTCTTTCCATTTTTGCTCAAGCTGGATGTTGGTCACTTCATAGGAAAGCTGTGTCTAAACAGATCCTATTACAACATTGCTGGCAGGTGCAGCCTGAGCTCGAAAAGAAGCTCATCAGAAACAGCTCTTGGGAAGACTCCACGGTCCTTCAGAATCTCATGATGAAATCCTATATTTATTCCGATAAACATCATTAAGCTTATTCTCCCGGTCAACTCCTGATTTCTTCTTATCTTCAGCATTGCATCTGATCTTTGAAAGATGGACAGACTGAATATTTTCTCTGAACATGTTCGCTACCTCAGTCAAGAAGAGGTCCTCCTAGAGCTTGAATAGATCATAAACATCATTGTCCTACGCAATTTCTCCTGCGAAGATTTTAGATATATGAAAATTCACATATTTTCTCCTGCGAATTTCTCAGTCAACCTGTCAACAAGAACTCTTGCGACCTTGTTCACGATATGACTGTTTGCGTAACCATTAACTGCCGCGTCAAAGATGAGTGAAAGAGATCCTGGCACAAGGACAACTCTGTCATTATGCTTTGGAACTGAGACTTTAAGAACTTCAGCTGAAGATGCTCTATTAGGGCTAAACGTTACTCTGTGAATTTCACGGTCAGCCTTGAGGGTGTTTGACGTCTTTTTTTCAAAGTTTGGGTTGGTTTTTTCTCCGACTTTCATTTTAAAATAGGAGATATTTTACTTTAAAATGGATGATTTTGGAGATAGTGATCCTTTTTTGAAACACAATGACGGTGGTGTTGATGATGATGATGATGATTATGATGAAGATAAAGGAAATACGACAAAACCTTTTCAGAAAGCATCGGAAACTGCTGAAACGTCGTTCATTAAAGGTGATACTAATTAGCTTCAAATGAAAAGGCATGGGACTCTCTTACGAAAATTATCCTAAGACAAAAGCTTCGGAACTCTAGGTTCCTTGTCGTAGAACAGGAAGGTTGCCAAGGAAAGAAGACATATCCTTTGTATAATAAAGAAAACGGTATGAATAAGTAAAGGTTACTTCCATAACTCCCACAACAGTAAGAATCTTAGGGAGAGGTTTTGATTGCCGAGAAGGAGAAGGAAATTATAAAGAAACAGAGGTCTATACAGGAGGATCGTGGAATTGCCGTTGATAAGAATGAAGACTAAGCTATGACAGAAAGAGCAAGAGAAAGGATGATAGAAAATCAAGAGAAGATTGATGCTCTTGAGAATGAGAGAGAAGAACTAGAAGTAGGCACTTCACTAAGAGAGAGAGAGTGAGATACACGTTCAAGAAATACAGTTTCACAGTATCAGCTGTTGTCGTGGTAGTCAGAACAACGATTGGAGTGATTGTGAGCATATTGACAAGGCCTGAAGTCTGTTGCCAAAGGAATTGGGGATGGTTTTAGGACTCTTGGAGGTAAAATAGCTGCAATTCTCCCAGGTCTCATCGATTTAATAGTGGGTTTCATTTTCAAGACTGCTGGATCAGTAATCAATTTTCTTGGTCAAAATGCATGGCTTCTGATAATGGGAGTCGCCATATTCATGGCTAAGTGCTTTTAGAAGAACAAGCGATAAATCAAGAACGCTGATACCAGTCCAGCTGAAATCAATGTTACCTTTAACTCATCGTGATTTGTCTCATTTTACCTTGGGGGTATCTTCACCAGAATTCCAGTTGAGGTGATAATTGCCCCCTAGGGGCTTGTCGCTCAGTGGCCTGGCCAAAGGCTTGAGGCGTCGGTTTGTTGATCTTTGATGAACCCCCATTCATCAGCCCTACACCAACTGACTTCGTCTCCAAATTCACTGAGCTGTTAGCTCTGAACTTCATTTCAGAAGTTGCCTTCTTCAGGCTGTTATTGCATAAGCCAAGTACCTAGTGAGAGTGCAAGACGAAGCCGGACTTTTGCTTCATCAATCGCAATCTGAAACCTCTGAGCACTCTTCGAAATGTATTGCCTTCTGATCGCACCCTCAACCAATGTGAGGAACTAACGTTAGCCTTCCTTTGCACTTCCTGGTGAAACCAAGATTGATGATCTGACATTGACTTGTGCACCAAGAATGCAATACACGAATGCTTCAATTGACTGATTCAGTCTCGCAATCCCAGCTTGCTGCTTTCAGCAGCGAAAAATATCAACATATTAAGCTAGTAAGCTGTTCTTTCTACAACACTTGGTTTAATTTGAAGCGAACTGGAAAAATCTCTGTATTCAATGCCAAGGGCACTCCAACTTTAAAGAGAATTTCAGAAGGTAATTATTTACTCAAAAGCATTCGCCAAGCTCTTCTAGATACATTGAAGAGTGAAAGACTGGAGGTTGAAAGGAGTGTTGGAAGTCCACAATCCTCAAAATAACCATCTCCCTCTTGACAATGATCTGGCTGACTTTCCTTGGAATTAAACGACGTTTGCAAACCATCAACTTAATCAAAAGGATTACATCGTTTTTCAGCCACCATGTCCACTGTGATCTCTTGGATAAGAATGAAAAGGTTTTCAAAGGAGAGCCCTCAAGCATTCTTGGATGCTTCAACATTAACGAGCAACCCTTTGACAGAGTGAACTATTATCTACGCGAATTTTCGCGACCGACGAGAATCGTGAGATCATCATGATGGTCTTCGTTTAAGGTTTGAGCTGGAAATAACTTCATAACAAAAAATGTGTTCTGAGAGTGTTTTGCGAAGCCCTTTGGGTAGGGCCGCTTCATTACCCAAGCCTTTCGGGCCAGGGGATGCTTTATGACTAAAGCCCTTTGGGTCAAGGGGTGCGAAGTGCCCCACGCTCTATGAACCTAAGCCCTTCAGGTCAGGGGCTGCTTGGGACGCTTCGCAGCCCCCGGCATGAAGTACTTCATTGCTCAAGCTCCTCGAGCCAAGGGCTGTGGGGTGGCCCAAGTGCACCGCCGATTTATCCAATAATACCAAATGATTTGAGGTTACAGATGATATGTGATTGTCAGAAGGAACTTGAGAATGAAATTACTCATTACCGACGTGTTGTTGGAAAATTAAAGAAAATTAGATGGCAGGAAATAATGAACATAGAGGTGATCCTCGCAGTTTTGAACACTACTGAACTAGAAGTTGAAATAGGGCCTGAAAAAATTCAGGCCCATAAGGGATTTGAACCCATGACCTCTACGATACCGGTGCAGCGCTCTAACAAGTGAGCTAACAACCACAGTGCACACATATGATTTCCATATATTTACAGTCATTATTTACCATTTGGAGGGTTTACTTGGAACTAACTTAATGATCAGCTCCCAGTTGGCTTGTTAGCTCAGGTGAGAACAGGTTTGCAAGGACTCCCCATGTGGCTTTTGTGGTTGCGTCACGTTAGTGCCCTCACATTAAATTTTTCCTCTTACGAACGTGATTTTCTCTGTTTGAAAGAGATGGTCGGAGGTTTTGAAAAGACTGCTTTCAGCAAGGGTTACTCCAATTTTGTATTGATATTTGTTTTAAATTTTTAACGGCCGGGTTGTATGTTGTGACAAAAGGCAATAAACGTTCGTGACCTTGGTTTTTGTGAATGTGTAAGAGCCAATTGCCCTGACAGAGACCTTTCTTTGATGTTTTCTAGGTAACCTCTTGCTTTGAGGCGTTGTTTGAAATTTAGAAAGCCCTTTTCCAATATTTCTTTCGAAGAGTATGTCCTGAGCAATCTTATTGCTTCGACTTGAATGAAACCATGTTTTACGCCTGGTGGGTCGCAGGAGATGAAGTGCGTAAATTGGAAGGTCTCGGTCGGCTTGTACTGGGTTCTGATATCCAAGATGGAATCTTTTGCGAATCTTTCCCCTTTAAACACCGTGGCATCTAGGAAAGTGATTTGGTTCTCTGTTATTTCGGCTGTGAACTTGATAGTACAGTGAAAATAGTTACTACGTTTAATAAACTGATCTATCTCTTTCCTCTCAATCCCAAAGGGAGAAAACGTTATCAATATATCGCTTCCATTTTCTTGGCTCGGTTTTGCTTTGTTGGATTATTTTCGCTTTAATTTCCACTATGGAAATATTGGCAAAGGGCACTGCCATTTCCGTACCCATAGCGGTTCCATGTGTTTGAGGAAGTTTACCTCATTGTATTGAAACGAATTTTCTTGAAGAATTAAGACAAGCATTTCCCTGAGGTAGTGCGTTGGGATTGGTGCATTATGGTTGTTGAACTTTTCAAATGCTTCACATACTATATTTGTTCCTCCTTCGTGAGATATATTTGTATACAAGCTAGAAACGTCCGTTGATACTAGAATAGCATATTTGCCTACCTTTGTTTTTTCGAAGAAGTTGATAAAAGCAGTGATATCCTTCATATGGGATTGTTGCATTGCGCCATGGGCTAGAGTAGTATCTCCACAAAAGACGATATTCTCTCGGTAGGGCCGTAACAACCTGAGATTATATGTCTACCGACCGGTATAGGTTTGTGTATTTTCGAGAGCTTATGGAATATTGGTGTTCTAGGTGGATCGGGAGTTTGTGAAAGTCATTTCCTAGTGATGTCATTAATGTGTTTGCCCCGATGCATTTGGTCAATGATCTCATTAACCCTTTTCTGCGTGTTTTTTACTATCGGTGATCTGAGAGGTTTGTTGTGAAGTCTGTTGTCGAGTTGCACTTTGGCCTCTTCTATTTTTTCTGTCTTATTCATGATGACTGTTGTACCTTTGTCTGCGTTTTTGAGGTTTAAAGCAGAGTCTTTTAAAGCCATGACCTCATTGCGTGACCAATCATTTTTTGGCTTAGTTACAGTAATCTCCCTAAGTTGTGTTTTTACATTTCTCTAAAAGGCAATAGAAGGCTGAACCGGTGGCATCAAGTTTGATTTAACATGAAACGGAAGTGGTTCTTGTTTTGTCTATGAAAGATGCATTGAAGCCGCGCATTCGTCTTGCGAATTCTACAAAATCTCACAAGAGTTGTTGCCTAATTTCACACTGGTTGGTCACGGGTGTTGGGATGAATTTGAGACCCTTTGATAGCACACTGACTTGACTGTCAGAAATATGATAGTTTGAGAGATCTTTTTGGAATGTTTCGTTTGTCTCCCTTTCTTTGGCTGAAAGCTTATATTTTAAAGAGTTTCTACGCTTTTTGCGTCGTATGCTTTTTGTTCTGCTTCCGCTGTTGTTAAAGCCAGCTTTTTTAGAGTAAGAGAACTTGTCATGTTACCATTGCATTACTCACGAATGATTACATCACATTTTCAAGTTCCCGTATCAACGCGTGCTCAGTGGCTGCCCGTGTGTTTATTCTCCGTCAATCTAAAAAGCATACTGCTTAACATGGTTTACCGCAAGCCAGCTTCCCGTAGACACAACTGCACACTTGAATAGCTTCTTCTGCAACATCTCAAACCTTCATCAACATTTCACAATTGCGCTATGCTGAAGCACGAAAAACCTATCTTCGATGTACAAGCCGTGCAATCAAACCGTGATCCTAACCATCACTGGGAGACCAGATTTCATGATTAATGTCTACTTGAAACCGACAAGGAAGCAGTGTCCCGATTCATAGGGGCTATTAATGACCTGGCCAAATTCTGTCCCCAACTTAGCAGCGTCACCCAACCTCTATACAACCTCACCAATCCTATGGTCCAAGGCACCAGCAAGCCTTTGCCAAGTCCTAGCCACCTCTGCAGCATGCCTGGCATACTTTGACGTAACTGATCCTTCTGGTGGACGCCTCAGACTATGGCCTGGGAGCTGCCCTCTTACAGCCCATCATACTACACAATAGCAGTGCCCTTGACAAGTCTTCTCTACGACCCACTGCGTACAGCAGAAGGCCTAACCACGAGCAGCGTAAAATCGAAAAAAAGCGCCTGGCTATGGTCGAAGCCATCAAAAAATTCCACCCATGGCTTTTGGGAAAATCCAACACACAGTCCATATAGACCACCAACCACTTCAGCCAATCATGAAGAAGGACCTCGCCTCAGCGCCTAAACATCTGTAGAAGATGACGCTTTTCCTACAGCGTTACAACTTTACCGTTGTGTACAGAGAAAGGTTCTTTCTTGCATTTAGCAGACACCCTATCCAGATCCTCATGGCAAGACGAAGCCTTCAACCCATCCATGCCGGACAACATGCATGTGTTTCACGTTCATCTTGCTCACTTGGGCCTCACCTCACCGGCCCTCGCCGGCCCTCACCGGCCCTCACCGATACCATTTGCGAGCAACTATGCAGTGCCACATCATCATGCTCTGACATGCACTTGCTGCAGGATTACCACCTCCACGGTTGGCCACCGACCAAGAAGTTCCTACACCATCAAATCCAAGCACTTTGGCACTTTCGTGAAGAACTCAGCATTGCAAATGGTATTCTTCTTAATTCTACTCGCGCCTCCTCCCTACCTCTCTCAGACCAAGTATGCTGAGCAAAATCCACCAATGCCATGGGGGAGCAGAACATTGCCTTCGTTTCGCTCCAGATGCAATTTTCTGGCCCAACATGTCTAAAGACATAGATGCATATTGCCAGTTATGCCCTGGTATGAAAAGCAAGCCGTCACTGAGCCTATACTATCCCATCCTGTCCCTACACGACCTTGGCAGTTCATCCCGCAAGATATATTTGAGTTCCAACAAAAGCAGTACATAGTCACCGTAGACCATTACAGTGATTTCTATGAATTGGACCAGCTGATAAACACTCAATCCACCACCATCGTTGTGCCCACCATAGCCCACTTTGCTGGCCACGGTATCCCAGTATGTTGTATAACAGATAATGCTCCGAACGCCAAAGAAGTTTAATGACAACGAACTTTACAAGAAGGTGGGCTAACATAGTACAAGCTCACAAGAGCACTCCATATCCTCAGTGCCTCGCTTATGGAACATTTTTCTTCTTGTTCATGTTTTTATCTTTTTATTATTGAACAATGGGTCACATTAATTTTTTATTGGACTTCGGAGACATTATTTGTTTGTATTTGTATATATAATTTTTTTTTGACAAGGGGGAATGTCATGTCACCGTTGCGTTACTCGCGCATGGTTACATCACATTCTAAAGTTTCGGTACCAACGTGCGCTCTGGGGTGTGATTAATGGTTGCCCATGTATTTATTCTTCGTCAATCTAGATAGTATACTGCCTAACAAACAAACTTATATTTTTCATCTCTTTTATTTGTAAGTGTATGAATAAGCTCTTTAGGGTCAGAAATCTCATTCCTTAATTTGGCTATTTTATCACTGAATTTTATAACGAGCGCTTTCCTTTGAGCAGTTGCCTATTTACGTGTTTGTTCTTACGAGCTCAGAGTTCTTAGTTAACCCTTTTTCTTTGCCTCTCTAGCCCTCTTCTGTGAAAGCTAGCTTAAGCTTGTTGTTTTATTTCTTTTACTTCTCTATCGTAGATTATGTCCGGCGTGATGTTTGGCTTCGCCGAATATTGCAAAGAGATCGGACGAGTCCAATTTTCTCAACATTTCTCAAGTTTTTTGATAAATTGTTCAGTTTTGGGAATTTTAGCCTCCACAGCATTAAGATCTTTGCATTTTCTCTTTAAACCTCGCTTTAAAAGGTCTTGTTTTAGTGGGCTGCTCTCTTGTTTCCTTTTTGACGGGGTCGGATTTTATCGTGTCGGTCTTGGTTGTGATAGTGGAAGGATGTTTTCGTCATTGTTCTCTTCGTTCAAGGCATTTATTTCATGGTTTAAGTTTACGTCATTGCGAAGATAGTCTAGCGTCTTTGGTGGTGAGATACCGTTTTCGTCTACTTCACTAAGAATTGGTGTAAGGTATTCGGCTAGAGAGTTGTCAAAAGCAGACATGGGTGCAATTGTTTATAATAGCTACAACAGTACCGACGGTTTCAACTCTTCACAAATCTCTTCAGCTGTTGTTTGAAGATGGTGTTGCAATAGCAAAGTCTTTCAGGGAAAGGAAGAGTGGCGTTTTAAACTCAATTCCGTTCCCGAGTGGAAATTACTTCTGTGATCTTTTATACGTAGATCGTTAGGCTTGAGAATCGAGTTTCCGTTATTCCTATCGGTCCTTGGTGTCGCTTAGGGAACCAATAAGGTGTAGGCGATTTCGATACTACCCGATCTGAAGGTGAGAGTGTCTTTTAAGAAGACCTTTTCTGCTGTATAATCGCTTGAAAAGACGCATACTTGAAGTTTGTTACGATTTCCCGTAGTGTTTGTTTTCGTCCCCCCTAGAAAGGAGGTACTTAAGATGTTACTTTTAAGCCATATTTTGTTTTTTGTGCATTTTTACATTTGCACTTAGACGACAGGGTCTGTCTGGAAACTATCAACTCTGAGCTTTGTCAGAGTGGGAGTGGGACCAAATAGAACTGGCCAAGCTGGATTATGGGAAACATACCTTAAGATACAGAGAAGTTCCTCCCTATTTCGTGACGAGATCAGGTATGAGGCTGTCAATAAGTTAGTGCATGTAGAAAAAATGGAGTTATTATCAGCTTGTAAAATGATTTCAATCGTAGAGTTGATAGAGGTGGCATCTGTTTTTATGTCAGGGCAAGAGTTTCTGAAAGGTATTCACAGTCCAAAGGTCCTGGATATGGGAGCTTGAAATTCAGAATTAGCAAATCAAGCACGTCGTCCACCCCCTGGAGAAAGTAGCCCCGCCGAAACACCAGAAACAGTTGTGCACGAGGAAAGCGCCACGTCTGACTGCACAGGTATGATGCACTCGATTATCTCTCCACCGTTGTGGTTTATTTGCTTTCCTTTGTTTACTTCTTCGGATTATTGTACGAGTCTGTACCTTTCAAATGTGCTTTGAATTGTCGCACATGTTGTTTTCTGTAAACTGTTTTCTATTTTGTTCCTTTGGTCGAAGTACTTCAGTCACATGAAACTGATGACCTATTATTATCCCTGACTCTTACCACAGATGAAGGAAGCGAAATTGCTTCTAACCCTGATGTTGTTCTCCCCACAACAAGTCGAGAGCTTTCCTCACATCGAGCGGGAGAACCAAGTGCCACACCAAACGACATAAGACCTACTAACCCCACTCCTGCGCTTGCTACTGGTAAGGACACCCCCACCCCTGTCCGTCCAACTAATCCTACCCCTTCACGACTACACGACAGGCCTTAACGACTGCTAATCCTCGTCCCAGTAATCCAACACCTCTCCAGGCCTCTGAGCCTCTTTTCCAAGATTCCTCTCTCCAGGGGGACTCCTCACAGTGGAGAGTCCCCCTCGTCACAAGAGGAGAGATTGGAAGGACCCATCGAACTAAAGGACCCAGATGGCTATGAAAACGGTCTAATTGTTTCAGGTGGGGCTCTATTGCAACAGTTTATCATGTCATGCATTGCTTTGCAGTGTTGTGCTGTGCTGTGCTGTGCTGTGCTATTCTATACTTGTGTTCTCTGAACTGAGTGGTGCGACTCCTGTTAATTGTGTATGTATAGTGTCACTTCTTGTTATGAATCCAGAAACTTACTTAATTCGCTTTTGTTTTCATGTAAATGACTTTTTTTAATCGGGTAAGAACGTTATATGAATGGATCAATTATCTCTTAACAGCTGAAATGCCGCACGTCGGTCCCGGAAGTTACCAGAGAAACTAAGAAAGATAAAGTTAAACTTCCCAGCTGTATAAAGAGTTCTAAACCTGGAGCTCTTCCCAACAGCCAGGTGCGTTTCTGCAATTGACACCTGTTGCACAAATTTGAATGAATAAACTCGCAGCCAAAATGTTCTCTCCTCTGTCAAACCATAGGGTTTCTTAAACCAAACATTAGTGAAGTGAGAGGGGTGCGTTGTTGGAATGTGCAGTTTTTTGTAACTGCCTAGTACCTTACGGGGAGAGCGAGAAAGGTTGTATTTTTCATTTCTTCACGATCATAGTTTACTCTATACTAGAGAAATATTTATGTGACGAATTGCTGGGTACTTGAAGTTAACACAGTCTCTCTTTATTTTGATGTTAAGTTCTGATCATTATCTGTTATTTTTTTCAATCAAATTTTAGATCTATAAAATCGAGGACCCCGTGCGTCGTGGTGTACACACAGTGTCTGTGACTGGTGATCAGCATAAAGTCGCGAATCTTTGAGGCTTAGAGCTGCAGCCTCCACAGGTGTCTTTTGGGGTGCTAAAGGAAGGCTGCACTTACGTCCATAGTGTAATACTGAAAAAAATCGGCATTGATAGTTGTCGTTGCAAGATAAAGCAGCCACCACTATCGACTGGCTTGCCTGTCAACCTGGACTGGTAACCCTTGTCTCTTTTATCTCGTTATTAATCTACAATCAGAAACCCAACGTATGTTATCTGTTCTGGATGTGAAGATTTTTGCTGGGGCAGTAGGCGAGGTCGGAGATAGTGGCTTAGGTCACGTGGGACATCCTGTGGAAATAGCTACAGAGACTGATGTACTTTATCTTCCTGTTACAGCAAATGTCCTTTTGAATCACACCCGTGTTTACTAAGAAATAAGGTCAGTTGAGATAAATGCTTATGTAAACAAGGCTTAGTGTGGCATCTTGTTTGGGAAAACGAAACTGTGAAATATGTTACAGGTAAGTAAACAGTAAAGTACTTACAGGTTAGTAAACAGGTTTACAGCAAGAGATGGGAGTTGTTGATGTATACTTGCTGTATAATGTAAAGTAATTGATACTTACACAACTTCTCTTTCTTACTAGACTAATTCTACAGAAGACCAACTAATAACCAGGCTAAATGTAAAGTCTGGAGAAACTGCTAAAGTTCTTGGTGTTGTGCCTACAGTCTGCACTTGACTATGGACTGATTGATTAGTGTCTATTGCAAAAAATGAGTTTTGTAACAAATAATCCTAATATATTTCTGTATGTTTGAAGAGAAATCATCAGATTTAATCATGTAACATATACATTAGAGATTTAGGTGTTGGCACCAGACTGCCCTTTTTTCCCTGCTAATTGCACATGTATAAAAACCTAAAGCAAGATAGATGACACGTACAAATAAAATTCTGAAGGAGAAAAACATATTGCATCTTGCTATACATACATTTAAACCACTTATTGATTGTACCTGGCAAACTAATTTAGCTTTAGTGCGTGAAAGATCTTTATCATTTCGTATTTAGACTCATATTTTACCGTTCAGTCATCTTCAGTACGCTGTATCTTTGCAACTACTGACCCTTTTCATTCAAGCAATGGTTTATTTAACAGCATGATTACATATTGCTCTTTGTCTGTTTACTCCCTTTTGAAGACATTTTTGTTTTATTCAATTCTCTTACCATTCATAAAATTGGATCAAAGATTCTGAGTGTACATGTACATGATGTAATTGACATAAAATATGTGCAGTATATGCTGTTTGCAAATCTTTATTACTGGTTATACCAGTTGAATAAGTAAAAATATTGTTTTGCATATGACTCTAATAATATCTGGTGTTGCTGAAATGGTGCATGGTATCTGTGAGGGAGAAAGTTGTTACACAGGAAAGTCATAGTTAGCGTCATTGTTTTGTTACTTGTGTGATGTGTTGTGTTGTTGCATGTGGAGTGAAATTTGTTTTGTTGTTGCTTTGTTATAAATGATGATGATAAATGTAATTATAATATGACTGGATAGGGTAACAATTTGGTAAATTAAGAGAAAACGAAATATGCATGTTAATTCATAGGGTTATCATTTACGGTGCTGTACAGTGAAATTCTATGACATTGTTGATATTTGTCTTTCATGTTAAGTGTGTGTTGGAAATTCTGTTTATTTATCTATGGTGTTAGGTCATGTGGTTATTGATTGTAACAATAAAGATCTAATTGTTCTGTTTTTGTAACATTCTTTTAACTTTTATTCGATGCTGCTGATAGATATCTAAAACAGCAGATTTCATTCAACTGTCACTCAGTTGCCATCGTCATGGCCACAACCCTTTCTTTCTCCTCCTTCCCTCTCTCTCCTCCGTGTCATGGTGTTTTTCAAAGGAATTGCTATAATTATCGAGCCTGTTATTCCTGTAAAAGGCTTGTCTGCATGTCTTCTTTAGCGGAAGCTAAGTTCCTTAAATATTCTTAAAAACAAATTTTCCTTGATGTGTTTTCCTTCTCTGACAGGTAACCTTGCTTTGCAGTCATGATATCCAGTTGTCCTTTTGCATGTCTTAAAAAAGGGAGGATGACAGAAACTGCTTATGGTTTTCTTTTATTTTTTTATCAATCCTTCCCTAGTTTTGCTTCGGGGTGTCAGAAGTCCTACCTCTGATGTGTTGCAGCTTGGCTACAGTGTAGGGATAACCTTGTTGCAGTTTGATCTCTCTCTTGCTACTGTCTTTCTACTGCAAGACAGTAGCAAGAGAGAAGTCAGACGTTTTGACAAGAGAGAAGTCAGACATCCTGTTCTCCTTTTCCATGTCTTAAAAAAAGGGGTGGGTGACAGAAACTTCTTATGGTGCTTTTTTTTACCAATCCTTCCCTAGTTTTGCTTCGAGGTCTCAGAAGTCCTACCTCTGTTGTGTTGCAGCTTGGCTACAGTGTGGTAATAGCCTTGTTGCGGTCTGACTTCTCTCTTGCAACCGTCTTGCAGTTTCCAGACAGACGGGGTCTGTTTGGAAACTATCAACATGAGAATAAAGGTAGAGACAGACCGGCACGGACTCCCATGTGGCGTTTGTGGTCGCGTCGCATTATCACCTTCAAATTATATTTTTGCACTTACAAGCGTATCTCGATAAGTTCATTGCAAACCCTACAGCATCGCTAAATACTAAATTAATGAGCTTACCATAACCAAATGTTAGCTTGAAAATTCAAAGTAATTATAGAGAAAGGTAGAAATATAGACTGCAGCACTGTCTTGCATATTTTGTTAAATGATCCAAACATGTCGTCTATGGTTGTTTATCAAATGTTTTTGCTTACAACATTGTTAGTGGTGGATGGTGGCTGGAGTGAGTGGAACTCCTGGAGTAACTGTACCAAGGCAGTTGGTGGTATACAAACAAGAAAGAGAGAATGCACCAATCCGGAACCAGCATATGGTGGGAAACACTGCGATGGGACCGGTGCACTCCTGAGAGGATGTAGCAACATGTCCAGTTGCCGTGAAGGTAACATAAAAATTGCAGCTTTTTTAATTTCAGTGGCTAAAAACTTCTTTGTTGAAACAAAAATAAACAAATACAGGAATAACAGTTAGAACAAACACAAATGAACGGAACTTCTGAGTTTGAACTTTAATCACATAATTATTCAGGCCAAGTATGTGAAATGCACAAATTATTAAGAGTCATTATAAGCCAGAAATCCTTCATAATTGCAAACTCTGTACATATACGGAATACACCATGCTCTTTTTGAAAGAGCAGTTAATTTAGCGTTAACAACTGAGTTGAAAACGTAAATTGGCCACCATAAAGAGTAAAAAAGCTGACGTTTCGAGCGTTAGCCCTTCGTCAGAGCGATTTGAGGAATTGTGGGTTGTTTGTGGCTTTATATGCAGCATGACGTCTAGACATCAAAATTTCAATTGACGACAACGATTTATGCACTAGTGTTTACTACAAACCTACAGATTCACACAGTTACTTGTTGTATTTATCTTCACATCTATCGCACGTTAAGAATTCCATACCCTTTTCACAGTTTCTCAGACTTCGTTGTTTATGTAGTGACGACTCTAATTTTTCCGACAGTTTTTCGATAAACGTGGCTATCCTGTTTCTGTCGTTCAAGCGGGCCATCACCGTGCCCAACAAATTGATCGACAGTCAGCACCACAAACGACTGAGAAGGAAAACAATGCGGACTGCATTCCATCCACTCTCACATTTCACCCTCACAACCACGCGGTTAAATCTATCATTTTTAAAAACTTTAAATTACTCCAAAACGATTCAAAGACTGATGCTATCTTTTCGCAACCCCCACTTATTTCATTCAAACGTGACAAAAACATAGGAAACTATTTGGTCAGATGTTCATTTCAAACCAATGACCAATCTGGAACTTTCAAATGCGCTCACTCACGATGCAAAACTTGTCCTTTCATTCATAACGTAGAGAAAATATCAGGACCCAAGAGATCAATTTAGATCACTGATCACTTTACGTGTACCTCCGCCAACGTCATTTACTGCATAACTTGCACTTATTGCAATAAGTTATACATTGGTGAAACAGTTAGACGAATAGGTGACCGATTCCGAGAACACCTTCGCGACGTGGAAAGAAATGACAAGGACGCATCCAAACCAGTCGCTGAACACTTAAATCTCCCTAATCATTCTAAACAACATATGGCGGTCTGCGGCCTTTCCTTACATCTAGGCAGTTTGGAAAGTCGCAAAATACTAGAACAAAAATTTATATTCCAAATCGGCACTCTTAATCCCAACGGTGTCCACGAGCGCTTTTCATTCCACTAATTTATTCCTGTTTTCTCGTCACCATATTCCCACCAATAGCGTAGCTCCATTTGCTGCATATAAACCCACACGCAACCCACCATTCCTCCAATCGCTCTAATGAGGGGCTAGAGCTCTAAACGTCAGCTATTTTATTCTTGGCCAATGACGGTGGTCAATTTACGTTTTCAACTCAGTTGTTAACACTAAATTACCTGCTCTACTCTCCCACCGACGCAGCACCACAGTTTCCTTAGAAACTTACCCCCTTTATTAATTTGACAAGAAACATGTTTAATAATGCGAGGGTCTCAGATATTAAATAACGTTTTGGCATTGACCTTCTGGTAAAGAAAATCAAGTTAGCTACACAGGAAATTCTTCCACCACAAAACTGAAAATAAATTTTTCAACAATGTTAGGACCTCTGTTTCTAGGTAATTATATGGGAACATCATCAACACAAGAATTTACACAAGCTGAAGTAGTCCACGCTGTTTATTTTTATCCTTATTTATCAGTTTTTTTGCTGAATATTTTGAAGGATTTCCCCTGCGTTTTGAAACAAAGGGGAACCCATCTGTCGGTACAATGGAGATATTCTCAAATAGCAGCTGGCAAACGCTTTGTACCAGTCAATGGGATGAAGCAGATAAAAATTCAGTCTGCATGGCCATGGGCTACTATAACAACGGTGTTTATGCTAATGACACATGGTACGCAGAACGTAGCAATGCTTCAATGTCCACCCACTACAACTGTACAATTCCGACCACATGTCAAAAGAACGTGGTAAAGAAACAACAAGTCTGCGAAGGTAATCATGAACTGCACTCATGTAATATCCACATAATTTCCAAAGATGGTAACTTGATAGATTTACTCACACTCCAGAGATGAAAACTTTCCCGAGAACAATGATTGTTCGTCTTCGGGTATCTTTTCGGGTAAGGTTTCTAACGCTAAAAATTGTTTCTACTGTTTACATCCTAAGACGTTTGCGCAGTCATGCATTTGAGTTTCATGAACTTCACAACCTCCAAACCCTCCATTAAGTTTCCTTGAAACTATTGCATCCTTCTAGTTTCCCTTT